ATTGAGGATAATATACCATTCAAAGTTGAAACTGACACTTCTGAATTTGCAATAGGAGCAACCCTGAGTCAACCTGGTCATCCTATAGCTTTCTTTGCTAGAACACTAAACTCTTCAAAATGAAAACGCTCTTTTATTGAAAAGAAGCATATGCTATTGTGGAATCTTTACGAAACTAGAGACACTATCTAATTGGACGGCACTTCGAAGTTTTTACTGATCAAAGATCCGTGGCATATGTTTGATCAACAGCATTCCAGTAAAATAAAAAATAAAAAATTATGTGTTGGCAGTTAGAACTTGCTTGTTTCAAATTTGATCTTATATATTGCCCTGGAAATAAAAATGAAACTGCAGATACTTTATCAAGAATAAATGCAGCTATAAAGCTACAAATAAATCTAAAGGTACTACATGATTTTGTCATCCCGGAATAACTTGAATGTATCACTGAATAAGATCTAAAAATTTGCCTTTTTCACTAGAAGAACTGTTAATTCATGTGTATGCTGCAGTCAAGTAAAACCTCGCTTCTATAGATCTGAAGAACACTTAAAGAAACTACACCTTTTAAAAGGCTAACTATAGATTTCAAAAGGTCCTTTGCCTATTGCTTCCTTCTTACTATTGTGGACGAATTTTCAAGATTCCCTTTTGCAATACCTTGTCCTGATATGTCATAAGCTACTGTTATTCTTCACCTGCAAAATATTTTCTTAATTTTGGAGATGCCAGCCTACATACATTCTGATAGAGGATCTTCATTTATGTCTCGTGAAATAAATGCTTCTTGACTTCACTTGGTATAGCAACAAGTCGCACAACTGCATATAGTCCTCAAGGAAATGGCCAAGTAGAGAGGTATAATGGAATTATACAAAAAACCATCCAGCTGGCACAAAAATCAAAGAAAGTTGGGAAGGTGTTCTGCAACCTGTTTTGCATTCAATCCGGTCACTCATATGCACAGCAACAAATGCCACACCACATGAACATATGTTCATCAGTGAACATTCTTTACCTACGTGGTTAACACAACCCGGAACAGTATTAATGAAGAACCATACACGAGCTAATAAATATGAGCCTGTTGTGCAGGAAGTGGAGCTCATTGAGGCTAACCCAGATGATGCTTGCGTTAAACTTCCAGATGGTTGTGAAACCAATATTTCAATACAATATTTAGCACCCAGAGGAGACACTCCTATACATGCCCATGGTATCGGATTGGATGAAAACCAACAACTTTCAGATTCTTTTGCTCAACAGAATGAAGATATGGCCACCTGTATTGAACCTGTATTGAAAACTGTAAGAAAATCGACAGAAGAGGATCCCCACCAAGGCAGTGATTTACCATGCTTTAGCAGACGTGAGGATTTTGAAAAGACTTCATATAATTTGCATGAGAATGAATCCTTGCGTCTGAAAAGGCAGAGATGTCAGCCTTATTATCTGGCAGACTATGTAACTTATTAATAATCTTATGGAGGGTGAATGTGGTATAATATTTAATATTGTTGGCAGTACTAAAATTATATTACATTGAATGGCAACAGCCATTGTTAGTTTTACTATTGTTCTTAGAATGTAACAATTGTTTTATGTGCAGTTTTAGTTGATTAAAGCTTCATTTCAGCTTCTTAAGGAAAGTGGTTTATCGTATTTACAACATTGTGGCACTATTTTAAATATTTTGAATTTAACTGTATTCTATTAACGACTGTTGAAGCTTAATTATGGAAATCTGGCATTTATCAAAGCGAGAAATATGTGATGAGATATCTATATAATACAATGAAAGAAAAGTTAAATAATGAAAAGAGGAAATCCACAATTAACTATAGTAGTTGATAAAGTATTTTTCTTAAAGAAAGCAGAATATAAATAGGATTTTAACACAGCACTTCATTGGCAATGGATGAATGCAAAGTTTTTTTAAACTAGCAAAGGATCACAGTGCATACTCCAATAATTAAATATACAGCAGTCAAAAGATTACTAATATTCTCACACCATAGGCAGGCATATAAAATGAAGGAAATAAATGATTTCAATATTTCAAACTGAATCGCACATATAGCTTTGTTGACCTCGAACTGAATGCATATACTCAAAGTATCGAATGGTTCGAGGAAACGTAGAAAATGATAAGAAACAGTCTAATAGCATCTAGAATATTCTACAACTTTTGCAGCGACATATTTAAATCTCAAAAAGATCTCCTGAGTTTTTCCAAATATGAAATACATCTATCTGACCTAAGTTTTAAGATTGTTCTATAAGCACACACATTAAAATGCTGTCTACTATTCATCTGCCTTTATTTTTCATATCTGCAAATGGATTTTAGAAATGTTTTAGCAGCCACTTAAACTATTTTAATATCAAAACTTCCATTACATTTATCATTTGCAATAAATCCTTACACTTTTATTTTTACATTTGCCCAGACATATTTTAAATCAACTTCAATTCAAATTGCTATTAAATTCTTTATTACACTTGCTCTCCCTTTTAATACACAGTGCATTTTCTTAATTGTTTATCAGTAGACAAAATATAAAAACGTGTCAGATGGGCACCAACTATTTGAAAAGTATCCCCCCCTCAAAAGAAGGGGGGAAAAGAAAGAAAAAAAAGACAAGGAAAAAAAGGAAAGAATGGGAAGAAAACAAAAAAGCCTAGAAATGCTGAAAGACATTTCCCTTATACAGTGTGTTTAAAAAAGAATCACCCATTTTGAAATGCACATATTACGAAAAATACTGAACACACAAACTTAAGACTTTTTTTTTTTATTCCATGACTAATCAAAGTTTTTTTTTTTTTTTTTAAATCAAAGATGCTCAATTTCTGTTGACTGTTGACTACATGGAAAATTCTGTTAGATGTTCTATACATTTTCGTCTGACATGTGGGGACAGCCAGGTGATTTCCTTTCACACAGACAACTGGTGTTTTGGAATTGTTTATACTATTGCCAAATGCTCCGAGCAGTAGGTTGTTGAATACCAGGATATTTTTAATGAACACTAGGTTGAACAGTTGTGGACAAACTCTTACTTTACGAAGTGTAGGACACAAAATGATTTCTGTTGTGCAGCTGTCATCTGGACAGACACTGAAGTAGCAGCTGAAGGAAGAGCATTAGCACTACCTGTGACCAACTGCATGAAATTTGAGATTTCATTCTTTCTACCTACACATTATTCGATCAAAATCTGATTATTCATTCAGAAGTCAAATAACAAAAATCAGCATTATATTTTCAAAATTTTCACAGGACTAGTTTCGATTCAGCTACAAAACCACAAATGAACAAGATAGGAAATAATGATTAGATAAGATAAGAAAGCCTGGACAAGAATAAGCAAATGACCAGGTTTTCTTATCTAATCATTATTTCCTATCTTGTTCATTTGCGTTTTGCAGCTGAGGATGGTGGTTCGGTAAAACCATCGAAACTAGTCCTGTGAAAAATTTGAAAATATAACGCTGATTTTTGTTGTTTGACTTCTGAATTAGTATTTGTTCGGCATGTTATTGTGTCTTAATTAAAAAACTGATTAGTTAAGACTTTTTCAAACCGGATTATTCTTTTTGATACACTCTGTATATAAATGGTAATTACATCTTTGCTTTATGCCATCACAGAAGCATCTACTTTTCATATCAGAGAGAAAATAATATTTATTCAGTATTTTAACAGGCCAACATGAACACTAAGCAACAAAAATTACACATTTTTTTATCTAATATCCTATTATACATTTTGTATAAAAACAAGTAGCTAAGTGAATGCACCCAAAAAAGACTTGAATTATACTAATAGAAAAAACAAATACCAGATGCAATATGAAACTTTGTTAGCAAGATTGGAAAAAAATTGGCAAATTTATATCTAAAATTTACATGTGATATGGATGAATGCTCTTCTGATTGAAAGGGGAAAAACATTCCTCTCTTTCCTTTAACATGTGTAATTGCATTAAAAGACTAAACTGTTTTCTTTCCCAATAACTAGTTCACATTGCACAAGTAATACTCACATTCATCACAACAATGAATATGGAAATAACATAGATATCTACAAAAAACATACAGTCAGTAAATGATTGTTACTTATATTTGAATATCATTATACTATTTAATAATCAGGAATTCAGCACTTGCATGTCTTTTTACATGCACACACATCTAAATCTTAAGCTTTCACTTATACATTTATAATTTTCTGAAACAAACATTTAACCGCTTCCCTTACAATTTTTTTGAAAAAAATTGAAGAAAAAAAAAAAAAAATATCACTTCTTTCATTCTTATTAAACAGAAAGAAACAAAACAAATCAAAATATATAGGTTTTAAAGTTGAATTTTTAATTTTTTGAAGGTGTAAAAGCATTTAGTTCTAATATTAGTTTACTATCCCGAGTTATCTCAAGCACACGAAAAAAAGTTACATATTAGTCTTTGTATGACAGTTTTTTAAACAAGGGACAACACAAAGTGATACCTAACATTCTCAACTGGTATCTGGTCCCTTTTCTTACTGACTTACTGCTGGAATCTCTTTGACGAGAGCACAGAGTACACTGTCTCGGATTTGATTTTTTTTTTCCACCTCTTCATAATCACTATCTGAAAAATCATCGTCATTATTTTTTTTTTTCAACACATGTATCCTTCTTTATACATTACTAATCCACAAGCCGACGTATACTATATAATAGGGAAACACATGACCAGTCCCTCCCAAAGAACTGTGCAACCAAAAAAATTTGGAAAACTGCCAATCAAAGCTAAATATTTCCTTTCATTTCCTCTAAAACCGTGATAAAACAAATCGTACTAACAAATTCTACTTCGCCCGAGTTTTCATGGAATAATAATTAATTGCAATACATACAAACCCAAGATAACTCGGGATAATCAGGCAAGCGGTTAAGAAAAGGACAAATATTACATGATTAAACATGTTTATAAAACTAAATACTTACCCAAACTGAACAAAGATATTGAGAGCATTGCAGATCACATTTGGTACTTGAGAAGCAACGCCTAAATATGATAAAAAATGCTGTCTGTATTCTTCAGTTGAGCCATCCGTGTCATTGATGTTTAATTTGAAATCTACAAAGTACTGAAGACAGAAAAATAATTCAAATGCTTGGTAATGCACATTTAGTCAAGCTGAAATTAATAGCAATATTCAGTAATGCAGAAATAACTTTTGAAGCATTTAGATCCTCTGTAGATTATGCTCATAAATATTAAATAAAAATATTCTTATTGAAAACCGTTTTGTTAATATACACAGAAATATACGTCTTCAACATTTGTTCATGTATATTGTTCATGGGCTGAAATATTGGCACAAATCAAAAAGTGAGGTTCCAAGATAAGCATTTTCCTTGCTTTTACATGCAAGAATTTATAATCCACTTTTGATGTATTAAAGAAGTAAGCTTTATTAAAAGGCCTAGTCAGAGTTCTGCTACCAATTCCAAAATGTAATAAAATTACCATTATTTAATAACAAATATATCAAAATATCAAACTGTATTATTATTGCCATTAAAAAAATTACACTGAACTATACTGAAAGTTCATAGCTCATAATAATGAAAAAGATTTAAAAAGGGAAGTTTCCCAGAAATAGCCTATATTTACATAAATTTCAAAATAGAACCTATTACAATTCAAATTTTAGATTACTGTAAAATACTAAATAATAATTTGGTACACCACCCAGATGGTATAGTGGTTAGGGGAGCCTGACTGTGATACCGAAGGGCCAGGGTTTGAATCTCGGAGAATGCATGGTTGTAACTGTCTATAATAGTGGCCCACCTATTAGGCAATAGTGGCCCACCTATTAGATGCCTCCATAATAAAGAGACCACCGCATCTGGCCTTAGTATAGATTAACGGACTCTGTTACAAAATTGTAACTGTTCACAATCTGCCATTAGGGGGGAAAAAATTGGTACTGCATTGGTTGCAATTAAACTTGAGATGATCTAATTTCTTCTTAGATGTCACAAGACGTTTGCTGTAAGCTTTTATCAATGTTACTTTCTGGAATGACTTCAAATTTTGTCTAGCACTGGAGGTTTTCATACTGACAGTTTTAAAACTAATTAAAGCTTCCTGGTAATGACTGAAAACCTATTCCTGTGTGTAAAGATGACACATTAAAAAAAAAAAAAAAAAAAAAGAAGAATCCAGTGACTGTTTTTCTAATTTCAGTACAGAAATGTAATTGAAGTGTACAGTGTCATCATTAGTTGGTATTTACAATAAAAATTTGACTGATCTGAGAGATCCTTTACATCACTAAAGTTGCCATACCCTATTTTCAAAAGTCTCAAAGGGTTGCCTTGTTTCTTTGCCATTCTAATTCAACAGGCATATTGAAATGGAATATAGATGAGGCCTGATTTCAATGGCCATCTCAAGCAAAGTCACTATTTGATCAACAGAACATGCAACGCTCCTGCCAAGCACATGATGCAAACTCAGTTGCACCATTACTGCAACCAATATACGTAAATCGAGGAATGCAACACAAACATTACGGCCAATTGCTGGTGTGACAGTTAAAATATGTGCCATTGCTGCTGCCACAGACATGAAGATTTTAAATGCTGGGAACAGAACTCAAAATTTATATTTTTCAAGCTCTGCCAGTATTGCAGCCCATGAACAATATAAGTATTGCAGAAATTAACTAATTACAGACAAAATTAAATTGCTTCCTTTTAAATTACATTAATAGAGACTTGCTAGCAAATAATCATTCACTTTAACAGTAAATTACAAACATTTGAGAAATTTCTAAAATCTGAGTAACAAAGTGTACCTTGCACTGTCTAATGATTTGACATAATCGAAATCTTTCTATGAACATTTCACGAAATAACAGAAGGTACATTCCATTCTACTTTAGAATTAAATAAAAAATAAGGTACTGTAATGTTGAGCAATTACTGAATATCATGGTAAATGTAGCATTTTTTAGGGAGGGAGGGTGAGATGAAAATAAAAACTTGTTAACATAAAATAAATCATGCATTTTTCATATTTTTCCCCTATGTTCTGAATTGTTTCATCTTTATACAATAGGAAGTTATAGCATTTGTACACTTTTGATCTAAAGAGTAATGGCATAAATAACATACAATATAGAATTAAAAAATAAAATTGATTTTTTGTAGAGAAAGCACTTAAACAATATTTTTTAAAAAAAGTTTTCGTAAAAGTATAGTTTAGGGTACCCCTTGGCAAAACTTGGCGATTTTGGGCGGTACATGGATACCGATTTTGTGCAATTCTTTGACTCGTTATTTTGGCTTGCAAAGCGGCGATTTTTGCACCAAAAACCCCCGCTACACAAAGCCAAAATAACAAGACAAACAATTGCACAAACTCGGTATCCATGTACGCATCGACTTATTTTCACTTAAAAAAAAACCTTGAATTGCACAAAAATGGCATTGCGCACTCCTTTGACTTTATCCATGTACACGTCGACCTATTTTCACTTTAAAAAAATCCCCGAATTGCATAAAAATGGCATTGCACACTCTTTTAACTTTATCCATGTACATGTCAACCTATTTTTACTTTAAAAAAAAATCCCAGAATTGCATAAACTTGCATTGCGCACTCCCTTTACCTTGTCCATGTACACATCGATATATTTTCACTTAAAAAGTCAAAAAAGCACCGAATTCTACAATATAGGCAAACAAAAAATACATAATCTCAATAAAATACATTTTAAACCAAACAATAAAATAACATAAAAAAGGAAAAACATGTTATACATTTAAGTACTAGCAAAAGCAAATATTCACTTGCCATGATTCTTCACCCAGAGCCACGTAAAAATCAAAACATCAATCATACTCAAATGACTTTTTTCAAACCAGGTACTCTTTCTGATTGAACGCTTCACATAGTGACCAGCTGAACCTTTCTTCCTACAAACCCATTCAAATCCATCTAAACGGTTTTTACGTTCGAATAGACGCATATCCTTCCTACATACAGGACATTTATAATGGCTACTAAGTAAACCTTCATTTACACACCAGTCAAATAAAGCTCTTTTCCCCTTTCGCTCCAAATCGTACAGAAACTTCAAATTAATCTTACTACATTCGGCCATTCTACCGTCTAAAGAATCAAACCAACACACACCACAAAAACGCTTACAAAACATCCCATGATTCAAAATTTCCCAGAATCATGCACCCGATTACATCACAATAGGGTTTCCATAACATTCAACTACTCAGGCTACCCATAAATGAAACAACTTGGCGATAAATCAAACAGCAATTTGCCATAATACAAGGGGTACCTTAAAGTCTACTCTACCCCAAGTTTTACAAATTTTAGTAATATCCAAGATTCAAATTAGAAACTTTTGTAATAACCAAAACTAAACACCATTTTATAGTCTCTTTCTCTTATCAGTTTCTTCCTAAAACTTGTTAAAAAGAAATCTCAAAAATTCAGTACTGAAGATTCCATATCTCCAGTCACCTCCAACATGACTGCTATCATTATTAAAGTAATTAAAATTATTTTCTGTAATTATCAAGAAAAGAAGATTCAAGCATTGAACAATATTTTGGTACTGATATGTAACAATTAAGAATTTGATATGCCTATTAAACATTAATGCCATAAATGCATTGTACAAACATTAGGTTTATTTTTAGGAAGCAGGAGTTGTGGAAAATGAGCAACACCCTCACCAGGAATCGAACCACGGCCTCTGGCATACATGTCCAATGTGCAGTCCATCACACCACAAAGGCATGCTAAGAAGGTGGGAGAAAATACCTTATATACTTCCCTTTTTAAAGGGCAACTGGGGTTTAGGGGACCCATTTGCAAAATCCTGGGTATGGAGAATCATCATCCACCAACCTTTTAGTTCGGGTGCCACTATAGAAATAGGTTTATTTTTAGGAAGCAGGAGTTGTGAAAAATTAGCAAACGTGTCCAGCGTGCAGACCACCACACCACGAAGGTTGCTAAGAAGGCAGGAGAAATACCTTACACATTATTCAAAAGGCATTATTATGCAACTTCACAGTCCAAAACACATTTCCAATTATTAGTTCATTGAGTAATAATGACATGTGTTTTATACATATTGAGATTTGATGTTAATTTAATTAGAGGTATAAATACAAACCTAATTTACTCTATTGGGATCTTAAATTATTGATGAGAATTCTCTTTTAAGTGACCAAAATTGTTTTACTCAACAAAGAGTAAACATGAAAAGATCCCAAATGAAAAAATAACTATTATTTCCATAATAACAGAAAAAAAAGTCACTATTGACAAACAAACACTTGCTTCTTATGCAAAGTTACTACAATCATTTAAACAAATGTGTAAATTTTTTTAAGTATAACTGGACTGAATATATAAATGATATGAAAATGCATTTCTATTTTATTTAAATTTCATAACAAAGCAAACAAACTTACTGAACTTGCAGTAATAAACATGTTCCAAGGCATCAGAGTTCCAATACCATGCAACATTAAGATCAAGAAGACAAGATTTAATCTAAAAAGAAAAATGAAATGCACACAGAAATTCATGGCAGTTAAAAAATAAGTAAATAAATAAAAACTTGGGTTTTAGACTGTCTATAAGCTATTCAAATCCCATACACTACATTAAAATTTTTTCTCAATTTTCTTTCATTTTAAAATCAGGTAAATTTTACTTGCAAAGAATATGACTATGAATACACAACTGTATTCAATTGATGAAATGTCTCACGAAGAAGTAAACATATCTAAGCTACAAAATTATGATTCTTAGTAAGTACCAGATAATTCCAAGTAAATACCAGAAAAATGAAGCTGTAAATACCCCATACCTGTCCTTTACAGGCTGCTTAGAAGAAATGGGTCTAGAAGTATTTGGAGCAGGAGATCCCGACACAGGTGGTGAAGCAATTTGTTCTTCAGAGATTAGTCGCATTTCAGATGCACATCTACATAAATCCCATCCAATACCTGATTTCTCTTTAACAGATTCTCTAACTTGGGGGGAGCCTTCCACATTGAGCTCCTCCATAGATGCTAATGGAATACAGTCAGTTTTTCTTTCCATTTCGATTTTTTTTTCCCCTCCCCGAGAGGCGGGGGTCGTCTATTCCCGCGCAATTTACTTAATATGCAAAAAGTTCAGGTATCTTAAGCATAGTCTACACTTTTAAACTTCTAAAAGAATGCCAAAAACATTACACGAAAATGAAAGAGTTACACAAAGCAACAAAGTTTCGCCTTTCTACTATATAACTAAAAATTTTAACAAAATCGGAAACACAGTGTTCGAGAGAACATTTTTTGTCAATGTTAAGTTTAAACAACAACAATTTAAAGCTTTAAGGTAAAAGAATTTTACAGAATAAATAAATCTTAAACCATTCACATGTCTTTAAAGCGAAAGTAGTTAAAAAACAAAAATGAATGTGCAAAATCTTCCGAAATCAAAATTTCATCGGAACTTAGAGAACATAGCCTTAACACTACACGAGAAAACTGGGAAGTGAAGCAGTTGCGCCTTGCTCAGTTGGATGATGGGATTGAAAAATCAATAACTTGGCAGCCAGTCAGTATGCCTGCTAGCAGAAGCTGGAATACAACCAATTCAGACACCTATAAAAGTGGAGTTGTTTGTATGTTTGAGCTCAACTAATTCAGTTTTTTGCACTTCCGGCTTAAACGATCTTATTAACAGAAGAACGCAGATTTTAACTCAAATGTCACAAGGTACATGCTATTGGTATTCCAATTAACTATTTCACGTTAAAGTTGATGTATTTAAACATAAAAAAATTACGCGATAAATAACTTTTACGAAACAATAAGCAATAGATAAATTTCAAAGCAAAAATGAAATCGGAATCAAAAAGAATATATTATAAGTATTTTATATTATAGTATATTCATCTAAAACCATAAAGCAGAATATTACGTTCATAGGAAGATCGGGTGGAAACGTAACCACCTGTTTCTCAGATCAGAGGTTTTGGATAATTCTCGTTTCAGTTTTATACCTCGAGGTCTCGCCTTAAATGAATACAAAGCGCTACTTTTGTTGAAGCGATGACGACAGCGACTTAAGAAAGCTTATCAGATTTTAACTTTTATGAGTACCTAAGTTAGGTCATAAAGGAATTTTCAACGCACGAAGTCTTAAAAAAATGCAATAAAAATACTCAAATATTTTTTGCTCAAAGTTAATGTGAAACAGTTAATGTTAACTGTGGAGTGAATTCAAAATTCTTGTACTAATTTGAGAGCAATGCGCGTTTTTATATGTAATTATTCTCTTCTTCGCTACAATTACTACAGAAAATTAGTGTTTCGGAGAGACCTGCTGTTGAAATGCAGGTTATTGTTAAGATCTTGATATCGATACGCATTTTGCTTGCGTTCGTGGACACTGTGGATTTTTTTTTCGGGGGGGGGAGAGTAAATGAGAGGGCTGATACTTCTAGTATAGCTAGCTATGAAACTTCGCGCTGATTTAAATCTCCGAATTCTTGCTTCTCGCTTTTAGAGAAATGGAGCTCCCTGTATTTGGAACACAGAATATCTGGCCTCAACACAAGTTTTTTTTGAACAATTTCTCAGAACATTTGTCAATCTTAACAGAATTTATATGAACTCGATTTTTAACTGGCATGGCATTTTTAAGAGCTTTCAAATATAATCATGTGATCTAGACTTGCTTCAAGTGCTTTGGGCAGCTGCGGTAGCGGCGATGCAGACATTAAATACATTTTTCTTGAGTGCGTTCTTTATGACCAGCAGAGGAAGATACTTCAGGAAACTTCGAAGCACCACTCTGTATCTTGGCGCCTTCGTGGAAGAATTCTGAACAAAAACAGGCTCGCTTCTTGCGCAGAATATAACGCAGTCCGCGAAATCAGCACGTTCAAGCTGCTGACAAACCGAGTCGGGAACAAGTGTTTTAAGCGTTCTCGAAATTTTATACACCGAACATATAACTTTGCCTATACCGTGAATAAAAATTAAGAGTACTAATCATTACACGCAAATTCGCAGCAGCAATTAAAATTGCTGCGATTACAGGCTACATGTTCTTCAGGGAGCATCAAGTGTAGCAAAGTCTCTTAATAATAGAGGATATTAAAACCAGATAAGTGGCAGTTACCAACAAGGCCTCTAATGTTAAAAATAATGAACATGTCGCCAAATTTACAGTGTGATAATTTCGCTATTCTTTGTGACTCAACAACAGATCTTTACATAAAATAAAACTAGTTTTCACGCCAACAAAACGTTAAAAGTATACTTTCAAAGCTTCCAATCAAAAGCCCACAAAAATACTCTATATAACTTAAGTAGGCCACTCGATACTACAAAGGTGCAGGCAATCTGGTTACATACGTCAGGAACATGAATCAAGTAACAAAGAAAGCTAACCTATATGAACCATTATTTGAAAGTGCGAGAGCTCGCAGCGAAGAGTTTAATGACTTTCAACGTGAATGCACAGCACAATGCCACCTTTGGAACAATTCAAATGGTAAATTTTCGCTTTGTTTCAGTTGTTCCAGTCTACTGTAAGCAATAAACGATATTAAGTACACACGCATAAAATAACAGCAAAACACTGCGGCTCAAAAAAGAAGTGAACATTAACTAAAATCAAAGACTGTTGCCATGCATGATTCATACAAGCATCTTTTCCCTCAATGGTAACACGCACACCGAAATGTATACGGTATAATTAACACACTAATATACAAATAGTCTAGAAGTAAAATTAATATCAATAATGTTAAAGGGGGTAGGGATTGGTTGGATGGATGCGTGCAAGTAAAAAATTGCTCACCATACTGAGAAGCACATGACGATGATATGAAAAGCCAATTGTTATATGACTATGAAAGTAGATAAAGTGAGTACCATACAGTAATATAGCAATTTACAACCATTTTCGATTGACACGCTTAACTAAACATCTATATCTCACGACACAGTGATCTAAATTTTAATTACTACTATCGCTTTCCCTACATGAGCACTTAACCATTAATTTGATGACTGTTTCGTTTTGATAAACCCATGTGGTCTGCAAAGACATGCTCATACGGTTGACAAACAAACAAATTATCCTTAAAGACACACCCGTCAGTTTCTCAGTCTAATTTCATAATTTCGATTCTAAAAAAAACTCGATTCGCCCAATATTGGAAACAAAGCAAATTTTCAAAATGCATATTTGAATTCGAAAATTTTTAGATACACCTCATAGGGTTTAGCGAAACAACGAATGAGAAACCTAACAATAATAAATCAAGTTTCTCTGTCTCACAATAAGGTGATGAAGTCTCAGTCTGGCAAATGTAAGAAGAAAAATTATATGCCTAAATACTTAGATCCACCAAAAACGATATGTGGAGAAAGTTTAATAAAGCAGGGCTGTATTCATTTTCATATGTTATGCTAGGAAGTTATCTTAATGCTAGGAAGTTATGTTATGCTTTCGTATCTTAATGCTAGGACGGAAAGAAAATTCTAGATAAATCTGCATTCTTAGCCTTAAGGTAAGTTTGGCAGAGGCCTTCCCTCCTTGACAAACGTATACAAATGGTTTCATGAGAAGGTTCTTGCGCTCCACTGGTTCTCAATTCCATGAAACTTGAAGAAAGCAGAGTTGTATATAACAAGATTCTGACAACGCGGCACGTCGGGACTTAGTCCGATTATCGGATCAAAATTCTATAAAGTCCTAAAATAATTTTTTTCGCATTGTTGAATGTAATAAAGGTAAGAAAAAAATTGCATACAGTAATTCTGTAAACATATTTAATGAATAACACTTATTCATGAATAAATTAATTTCCAGTTTATTGATATTTAATCCGCTTTTGCTTTAAAGATATAATTTTCAGAGCATGAAGTCTTTCCAAATAAATTCAAATGCTTCTTATATTACATCAGCTTCGCATATTCTACTTTAAAAAGAAGGATGGTGCACTTCCGTGAATATGAATATTTGATATTTCACCAATACCATATTCAGTAAAATTCACATTTGCATCGTCAAGTGATCTTCGTTGCATCGTTTTCGTCACTATCAATTTCTTTCGCTAATGTGAATTAAGCCACTGCCATGTCAAAGAACAGTCTATATAAATGCTTAGAGGGTGTTGATTCCGCACGTTTTGCATTATGATGCCACCACTTAACGCTTTTGGTAAACTGCTAAAATAAAATACTTCTCCCCCCCCTAAATTTAACAACTCGCAAAACTATTATATTACAAATAAGTTAATAAAAAAATCAAACTATATATAAACTCGAAGTTATAAATAAAAGGCTATCTAAAAGTGGCAAACAGACGCAAAGTGATTGCCGAATCTTCCGGAATATTGTCGAATGAAATGCTAACAGCATCATTTTATGGCCTAAAAGTACCTAATGCGCTAGCTTTAGACGCCTTTTCAGTAAGTTATCATTTTCACTCTCAACATGGTAAACTTCGTCAGCTCACAAACCATAGAGATATCCATAGAGATATTTCCGAATGGGTACGTCAAAATTACACGACCTCCTTCCGAAGATGTTAATCTTATTGAAATGAGGGTTTAGACTCCCTTCTCTTTCTTTGAAGATTCGGAGACCTTTCGCATTAGCAAACTCTCGTGTCTAAAACAGTTCGAAACGCAATGAATGAATAAGAAATTTAAATTTTCATCCATACAGAACATTGAGTATAAAGTGAAATTCCTTTTAAATATCAGTAGCTGCTGAATAAGGTAGTCCACAAACTAATTCAAATAACTAACTTTCACATTTTGAATGATACAAAGGTAAATCACACTCGAGACATTTGGCAGCAAGAATGTAGTAAATTCGATTGGTTTGAAATCTCGTACCTAAAAATGCGCTGTGCAGTCACTCCCAGTAAATACCACTTTTGCCTTAACGCTTGAAAAAGTACTTGAAAAGCTTCAAAGTACTTTGTTCTTTTGCAAGTGTTTACTGGTTTTCTTTACACATCCGTTCATTTTTTAAAAATGAAAAAAGCTTTTTCTAGTGGAAAACAAAGTTTAATCATTGGTTTTCATCAAAGCTGAAAATGACGCATGCAGTGCTTACAAAATATCTTCCAAAATGGGCATCAGTATCGGCAGCTTTACGTACACTAAAATCAATTTCGATATACGGTCGTAGCTTACCAGCGGCCGAGCGTAAAAGCCGCTGAACACTGTAGTTTGGTCCGGGATTCAAATCTCCGCGAACGACCTAACTGAATGAGCGTTTTTATGGTTTTCCCCATGTGTAACGTGGATACATGCCAATTTCCCTTAAAAAGTCCTCTCCCTTTTCATGTAGTGCTTAATGGCGTATACGAGTCACCGTATACGAAATTACCGTAATTTCGTATACGCTGACTAGTTACTATCCGCGGTTTCCCACGGGAAGAAAAAGAAAAATGGTAATGATCACTGCAAATAAGGCAGGAAATGATTTCAAA